ATGATCTCATATATATATATGACATCAATATATATATATATATATACCGTGCAGGGTTTTGGAATAAAACGGAACACGAAAAGAATTAAGTAAAGGGGACCGGAGGGGGGGGCGGAAGAAGCACTATACAAGGTATGAAGGAGTTTAAAGACCGGTTTAAAAGTGGGTTGTTTACTCGCAGAATGGAGGCTGTTCAGATTCGTTGCAATAGATGGGGTGGCTAAGAGGAGGAGACCCTGCTGCTAGGCAGGTTCATTCAATTCCCCACAACACACGATCTGGGGTAGGATTTCCCTGGAAGACCTTGGGTGCAGCAGAGACCTAAAGGGACAATTAATGTAGGTGGAAGACTCGGGCCATGTAAGACCAAATTTTTTTTAAAAAAGGATATATTCGGCACACTGTTCCCTCTCAGAATAAACTCATGGAAAGCAAAAATAACCAAGTGTGGTAAAGCAAAGAAATTAAAAGGCACAAGATATTTTTTTTTTAAATAACTCTAAACCAAGTTTGTAACAACCTCATTCACCATGCCTCTCCAAGCTCATCTATGCTTACAAACAGTACTTAACTCCATTGCATGCAAAGCACAAACCAAGAGCCAGCAGGCCTTCCTGCCTTTTTGAGGATCTCATCAATTGCTTCCAACTACTCCTTCCTCAGTATTCACTTTCCTCTCAATCCAGTCACTCTTTCTTTGGCAATTTAATTTCTTAAAAATGTTTGTGGGGGGGGGAGGGGATTCGATAATTTTTTTTAATGAATTATCAGGTCATTGGTACGCCACCCACTTATAATATCAAGGTGCCCTACGATATAAATATAATAATAATTTAAAAACAGTAATGCAATCATCAGCTAAAATCTATAAATAAATTCTATTCTCTCCCTGTAATGGGAGTTTTCCTTGCGGAAGAATATTGTTTGCAACCAGAGTATTAACTGGGCGGTTAATACAACCAGAGTCTTAAGGATGGGTGGCTTTCTGACTGCAGTAGACAAACTCTTCGAGAGTGAGGAGACACCAAAAAGACCATGTTCTGTCACATAATCTCTTAGATGCTGCTTCCCATTATGATGTATTGGGCAGGTAGTTTCTACCTGAAGCAGACCACCTCAAAAGTAGCAAGAAACTAATCCATAAAAGGAGTTATGGGTGACATCACCACCATGACTTGGTCTCAGAAGCTTACTGGTAAACTCTGCTGCTCCTGCAGGATGGAAATGACTCTGCTAAGCCTGTTAGTGCTAGTCACAAAATAGGCAGACACATTCTGTGCCATTTGTAGCTTCCCGGCCAACATTAAGGGAAACTCCATGTAGAAGAAATTGTAGTAGCCTAACTAGGAGTTGTTAACAGCAAGATTCACTGTCTCCAGAACTTTCTCATCTAGAAAAGAGAGCAAATGGTGCACACAAAGCTGGCCAAAGACTTCCCTACCTACAGTTTTTATCTGCTGCTCTAGCAGGAGCCAGAAGTCTAAAAGAACAAACATACTGTAGAGTTGATCCTTCAAATGAAATGCAATTCCATCAAGACCTACAAATGGATCGTCCATAATACCTGTTCTGTACCAATAGAAACTAGAAGTCGCCACAAAATCTCCAGGCTCCAGGTCAAGACTTTCACCACTGCTTCTGCTCAGCCTAGGGGGTGGAGATGTATAACAGCAAGCTCCTCTCTCCCGCCAACATCAGATGGTACCACCTACTCAGAAAGAACGGTGTCCTAACCCCCAGTCTTTAATAGTCCAAAATGATACCATGGTCAACAGCATGGGATGAGTATCATTGAGAGATGCAACAGTAGTAGAAGTACACTACCCTCATCCAGGTCCCAGTAAACAAATTTTGGGAGACCACCAGCCTGGCAATGAAATCAAAGCTCTTTGGGAAGGAACCTGCAGGCTATTACATAGGCCTGTGGTGGCGAACCTATGGCACGTGTGCCACAGGTGGCACACAGAGCCCTCTCCGTGGGCATGCGTGCCATTGCCCCAGTCCTAGGCCTTCAGCTGGGTTTTATAAAACCTTTTTGCTTTAGGCCTCTGCCGCCATGTGCAAAAAAAAAAGGTTCAATCAATCCATTTCAACTTCTCGCGGGGAAAAAAAATCTCGCAAACTTGGAATTGATTGAACTTTTTAGTCCCACCCAGTCTGCCGTTACCACCGCAGCCACGCCCACCCAATGGGCCACGCCCACCCAGCACCCGACGATACATAAATGGGTTTTGGGTTGCAGTTTGGGCACTCGGTCTCTAAAAGGTTCGCCATCACTGACATAGGCCAATACACTAATAGTACTCCCAGATTATGCTTGTTAATCAAAATCACTTATAGTGAGTTCAGATTCAGAGGAAAAATACATCTCATTCTCACAGTATACCATGGCCATCCCTCCCCCATTTCCTGACTTTGGTGTAGTGGCTGGTGTACAACTCGAAATCCGTCTCTCAGAGCTTGTTAAGCCAAGGCTCTCTAATACATTCTAGCTCTACTCTCTTTTCCATTACAGGCAGTCCTCATTTAGCAACCACAATTTGGACCGGCAACTCAATCGTTAAGTAAGAGATTGTTAAGTGCAGTTGCCACTGTGCTTACAATCTTATTTCAGCTTTCCTTTGCTTTAAAGATCTGAAAATGTCATAAATCCAAAGATTGGTTGCAAAGTTACTTTTTTTCATCATCGTCGTAACTGCAGATGTTTTTGTCCAGGGCAGTCACTAAATGAGGACTACCTGTAGAAGAACAGGGGCTTATAATAAACAGACCTACCATTTAGTAGAGCCAACTTGAATCCAAGGTCTTCCTAAGAGATTATCTAATCTTAGTAGATGAGTTTTCTCTACACTAGCTTCATAGGCTGACTTTTTAAAATTCCTAGCATTATCCCATAAGTGCAAAAGCCACTTCTCTCCCCCCACCCCCAGATTGGGGGCCTATTTCAGCATTTTAATCTATTGTACACTAGAATATAAATGAAAGGAAAAAGGTAGCCACCTTTTGGCAGCAAACATAGCTGTGTCTCAACAACTTGTGGAACAATTAAGCTTAGAAAGAGGTATTGACACAGCCATATGAGGAGTTTATGATTTGTGGAAATGTTAATTGTATGCTTCGTTTCCTTTATTTATATATCGGCTTGTTTAGAACAGTGAGACTAATGCAGTTAATTTCAGCCATAAAGTTGGAAAGCTATATACACTGCAGGATGTCAGTTCCTCAAGCTCAGGAGAGATTAAAAGTGCAAAAGGTTGTGTTGCCAGAAGTCTAAACCATTGTTCCATTTCCCATATAGGAAAACACATAAGTTTATCCAGAAGAACACTAAGTCCCTGTTTTCATACTTGAAGCAAAAGGCAATGTCAAGGAACAGAGGAACAGCATCGGTGTGTATATCCACACGTACATAAATGCTGAAAAAATGAATAGTTTTAAATGGGGTTAAATTTAATTAACGTGAGTATGCCCTCATGAAAATCTCATGTATTATAATCATTTCATTATCATGCTTAATTACTTTCTTTTTAAAGTCAGTAGCAAATATTTAAAACAGGCTGGTGTGGTACAACTGACTCAGTTATGGGCAGGAATAGGCCCGCCTCTTATGACCTGAAGAGGCTTCTGCAACAAGCCTGATTCCCAGGAAGTCCCACACTGCCAGACTTAGAAGAAACAAAAAAAACTGTGATACTGGTAGTTGAAGAGGGAAATTTGTTTTATGGTCCAGTTGGAAGCCCTGACTGAGAAGGCCCTTACAGTAAAAAATACTGTATCTTTCTCCCAGAGGTGGGGGAATGCATAGCTTCATAGAACCCAATCTATGCAGTCCAGGGGTTTTCCGCCCTTTCAGTTGTTTTCCTTTTTGTTTTGAATTTTCCCTATAGGTGGAAATAACAACAACAACAACAAAACTTGGCTTTATTTATT